AAACCGGTCAGTTAGGCTACCTATGATGGAACCATAGTTCCCTTATACAATAGGCTCTAATTCCAGAACTTCTTCAAGAGCAATAAACGAATGCAGGATATCTTATTGTTTTGTCGTCAAGGGGTAAAAAGTAACGGTGAGCTAATTTGATTAATAGAAATGTTGACACTATACCAAAAGGAGGATGACCGTCCACAAAGTCCACATGGCAAATGCTTAAAAGAATCCTTAAAAATTAGAAATAAAAATGGGCATTGTACTCATGGGCGCAGTGTTATTTGTCTTAAGCATAAGATATCGAAGTAAGCCTAGGCACGGGGTCTCGACAGCGAACTAATATTTCCCGGTTTTTGTTGATGGCTATAAACTCATGTGTAATCAGGCCTGTCTTACATGGACTCCTCCTCAGAACTGTTGATATCGGAGAGGCTGAGATCATCGCCATTCGAGCAGCCGGCAGCCTTCGAGTGGTTTGCCAGGAATGTCGCCTTCAAGGCCTCCTCTAGCTCGCGTCGCACGACCTCCACCTAAACCGAGGATTTGCGTAGGAAGTGAGAGACAAAAATATATTAAGGAGGAAAAACTGGAAAAAAAGATTCGTTTCGGCCTCAAATCTATCCCAAACTCTGAATCAATTCGTCTAGTCTATAAGCATTCAGCTTAAATGTTAAGTTAACTGGACCTCACATATGAAAAAAAATTTAAGAAAATAGACAAAAATAAATCTGAATGAATAAGCGTATCTGTACCTTATTCGGATAGATAATCTTATAAAACGCAGGGAAGATTCGCTTCACTTTAAGGATATTTCGTCACATTTCACGCAATAGTCTCTTCTTGGTTGTGTGCTTTAGGTGTGAAGAGCATGATACCGAAACAATGGGCAATTTGAGCATATTTTAGGGTGAAACACGTGAAATAGAGAAATAAAACTGGAGCCAGATAACTTGTGACCTATCGCTTTTGGTGAGACCCTGGTTTACTGCAAAGGCACTTGAAACAGCGAATAGTGGACCAATTTCTCCGAAAGACGAACTACTTTCGCCCCTGATATTCTGTGCATAGTCTCGACTAGATCATCATTTCGACCGTTCCGGACGACTTAATAAAGACCCACTACAGACAAACCAAGTACAGAAAAGGTTATCTAAGCATTGCTAAGGTGGAAACTAAGATAAAGATGAGGGCATACTAAATTGAAAAATGGCGGTCACCAAATGCCCCTCGACAAGGCCGATATTCAAAAGACGCTTTCAGGTTTCTTTACACAAACTAAGGTAAAAATGAAATATCATTCGCTACCAAATCAGATTCCCTGATAATTAAACAGCACTGCCGAACTATTATGATAGCATCGAGTTCGATGGCGAATACGATGCCCTTACAAAGTGTACCATCACAATGTCTGCCGTTGAGGAAGCCAATGGGGATCTGAGCGAGGCCGAAACCGAGGCTCTACTCGGAAAGTACAATTTTGAAATTCTTGGAGCAGTGAAAATATACGGAAAATACGGCAATCTATATGCCTTATGCATACCTCAAAACGCCAATCGATCATACTCGATCTCAAAGATATAGTCGGGATTCAAGGACACTGACATTTATCTACAGGAAGTATGATGCTGTATGAGATGTATTCACTCTACCTCGTTTATGGTGATAAAGAGACTGGTAGTTGAATTTTCCCACAATGAAATGTAGTGGAAACGAAATGTCTACTTGTATTATTGTAAGGAAATTCTACTGCCAGTCCTTCATCACCTTAAACAAAGTAGGGTGAATACATCTCATATAAGTTCGACCAGAAATGCAGATTATTCAACCGGTTACCAAAAAAGTCACCCTGAAAAAATTGACCTCACAGCCAATGCAAGTTGTCAAAGTTTGGGACAAACATTAAATGCGCTCCACCAAGTGCTATGTTACCGTCTTATCCCTTCGCCTGGGTTTTCGAACTGGCAGCTTCGTTGCAACCTCATTATATGAATATAAGAGGGATACCACTCAATAATCTCGCCAATTTCGAAAGTCGTGCTCCACGCATGGGCGACTGAAGACAGTCGACTTGAGTGATAATTTAGACTTGAAGTACAGGCTAAACCCTTAAAACCATACGATCGGTGAGGGAAAAGTGTATTTAAAGCCGTCATGTTACTGAAGTTCATACCATCTTGGCCTTCGTATCCTA